TTTTTTTACTCTAAGTTTATTTGAACAGCTGGTGGTCATATTTAACTAGGTTACATGTCTGCATTGAAAATATCATGTCTATTTCATGCCATTCCATTCTAAAATTTGATTGAAGTCTGAAAAAACTTTGCATGGCTATATGATTTCGAGTGTTAGCTATGCACATGTATGTTTGTTCCTTGCTGTTTCCATTCTTTTTCATTCAATTTTTCTTTTAAAACAAGAGCATTGTTCATTTCATGAGCTGCGAATATTTATAGTCTGTAATAGAAAAGGACCTTAAGCCAAGGGAAGACATACATTTGTACATAATATCACATTAGCCATGATTTAAAGTGTCATTAATTGTTTTGAAAAAAAATTTATCATTGCACTGATGTATTCAAACACAGTTAATATTCTATACTGAGGACGAACTTTTCTTTGTGAGGAGTAGTATGGTTACGATCATAAAATTAGCTATAAGTATCCCTCCCTAGACGCAAGTATGATTGAATATTTCACAGAGTATCTATACTTGTCTGTAATGTTATAACGAACATCAAAGCATTTTCATAATGGTCATAACGAACTTGTTTAGTCCTCATTAGGCAATTATGGAAGCAAATAGTTCCATTGATTACTAGGTATTTGTATAAAGGTCTCCGTGTTACGAACGAATCTGATTTGTGATGTCATTTGATTGAACCGTACATATACACGTAACCTTATTGAGTATATATAAACTTGCTGAGTTATACCGAGGACGAACCTTTCTTAAGTGGAGGAGTAGTGTTATAATAAATACAAGAATTGTACATTTACTATTATTGGTTGAAAGGAATATGATGTTTATTAATCCCTCTCCTGTATGACATAATACTTTAGCCTTAATATCCCATGTTTATACTGTAAAACCTTTGTAAGGGGAATCGTCCTTTGGTCTTTGGTGTTTCTCTTTTAGAGGTTTTCCACCTTACAGATTTCACTGTGCATTCTAATCTTTGATACAACCTTTTAATAGAAAACAAATCCTCAGGACAAAAGATTACCTGCAGCGATATTTATTACAGTCATTACAATACAGTCATATGTTACAGGGGTTCACTATTGTTACAGGGGTTGCACTATACTGTTATTTCTCACAACAGGCTAAATAAATGAAAACAACAGGGAAAAATAATGGAAATAGTGAATTAACAATGGAAAATTTGAAAAGTGCCTAAAAACAACAGGCGACTTTATGAAAATGTGAAAATCGCCTGTTGCCTGCTGCTAATGAAACCCCTGTGATATAATGTTCATGTACAAACATATAAATCTCCCATTCCTTAGGTGAACTTGACAACCCCAAACAAATGGTTTTAGAATAAGGTGCTCTTAGATTTCTCAGGTTCAGATGAGTCTATTGAATGATCACCCAGTAAACCATCTGTTCTTCCGTCCTCAAACTGATTTTCCATAAAAACAACCTGAGAAATCGCCTGTTGTTTGCTGCTTGTAATACCACCTACATCGCACGTTGAGAAGAAAAAAAGTGCATGTAAATGTTCAATTATTTATAATTTACATGTCCAATATGATTTATGTTTATTGATTTCTCACTACTGATGCCTTAGAGCATGTTTGGTTAGACATCCACTGTTATCTTATGATAAGTTTCTAAATTCTACTTGACTTCAATTCTGAGGTCATCCCATTATTTTCCTCCATAGAATTGTTTTTTATTGATAAGAACGGCAAATTGTTAGCATTTAATATCTCGAAAAAATTTAATTATGTGTCAGTATATTATGGATTTATTAAGTGAATTGGACGATGTGGCAAGTACCAATTTTATAATTTTTTAATTGTAAATGTGGAAATTTTAGATCAATGAGTAAAATGGTGATCTCTGACTATAGATAGCTGGTCATCCATCATCTCTGATCGATCCAATCCCATGAGAAAAATTTGACGGTGGATATTTAAAATCCAAAATAATATAAAATATAATTGAGTTGACAAAAAATGAAATAACCAGGGTTGAAGTTAAAACTCTGAATTGTATGGAAATACCAAAATATTAGATACTTTATTCAAATTTTAGAGAGAAATTGAGTGGAATAAGCATGTGCAGACGATATTATAATCATAGTTTATTGACCACTGCAATCTAGGTCCTACTCAATCACTTCTCGTTCTTTTAGAAAATGAATTTAGAAAATTAGCTTAAAGCGCTTATTCTACCAGAATCTATATTTCTTAATAACTGTCTTGTCTTCCAATTTCATATTGATCTTGCATAGAATATAAAAGTAAATTCTGGTATTCATCAGAAACGTTTCAAGATTCACCATTTTCTTACTAATTCTCTGAATTGTTTGAAGTATCTAACATGTTACTTTAAATTTTTATTATATAATTTGTAGTGCCGATTGATATAGGGTTGCTCAAATGAAGAAAAGTTGAAAATTAGGCAACAAACTGAAAAAATACATGAAATGAAAAAAAAACTAAATGAAAACTACTAATATGGAGTCTGTGAACATGTAATTTGTCTCCTTTCTCAAATTTTATATCAATAGAACCACTCACTTGGTTACTTTGAAAGGTGACAGGTCATCTCAACCCCAAGTCATCTCAACCCAGTCCAACTCAACCCCAAGTCAACTCAACCCCAAGTCAACTCAACCCTGTAAAACTCAACCCCAGTAAAACTCAACTCTATTCATTTGTGCAATGTCTAATTTAATTTTTTTATGATGAATAAGTTAAGTCATTGATTTCTGAAAATCTAGCATTTTGCATGATCCTTTAAATAGAAAGTTGTAAAAGTATTCCGACAGAAAACGATTAATTAACTATTAATTAATTTACGACATCTTTTGAAATCAAATTTTAGATAATTTAGAAATAATCAACAATTAATGTAATATAACTTTTTATTTATATGAACATGCTTTTACAAAAACATTAACATTTACTAATTAATAGACCGAAAGCATATAGGCGTAGCCAGGAGGGGTGCGCACACACCCTCCCCCCAATTTTGAAGGAAGTTGCATGATTTTTTGTCAAAACATTTTTTTTTTGGCTCGCTTATGCCACGATCGGCAGAATTATTTTAATGAAATAAACTTTCGTATAAGTTCATCAATATATCGAAATATAGGGGTTGAGTTTTACTAGGGTTGAGTTTTACAGGGTTGAGTTGACTTGGGGTTGAGTTTTACAGGGGTCGACTTGACTTGGGGTTGAGTTGACTTGGGGTTGAGTTGGACTGGGTTGAGATGACTTGGGGTTGAGATGACCAGGAAGCCTTTGAAATTGAGGAAAGGGTAATTTTTAATTAAAAGTTCATGCGGCCCCCTGGAGTGCTAGTTTACGTTGATTCCTGCTAATTTCATGCTTTTCTCTATTTTTCATGATCATTAACCATCATCACAATATTCTGTTGGATTGTTTGATCACTATTAGGGCCTGTAAAAGCATCCAAATTAAATCACATCCATTTCTTCATGAAGAACTAATCATAATCGATATCTATTTTCGCTAAATACAATCTATTTTAATAAAAGGAATCTTCAATACAAAATGTAGGTTAAGCTGACTCTCTGAGCCAATCAGACTTTGTCGTCGAAATGCAGACAACTTTCTATATATGGTCATTTCTGCTGACATCATCATAGAGTAAATGAACAAGCATTAATAGCATGTGTTTTGTCCAGTTCGCTGATTGGTTGACAAAGGGTCAGTGCGGTTGGTTTCGAATGATTCATGACATGGGCTGTCACAGCCCGGGCACCAGTCGTGGGATCGGGGGTGCTAAACTGTGATTATAAGTCTATACTAGGCAGAGGGTACTTTTCACGCAGGGTAATCGGAGAGTTATCTGTAACCTTCTTGGTTTTCTATTTACTAAATAGACCGGGAAGATGTCAAGAGGAAGTTGTCTTGAGTCAACAATTTTGGCTTTCGTCTTCACTTTCCTCTCATTTAAGTACTGATAAGTCATCAAGTTCTCGACCTGAAGCAAGCTGAGGTAATCATTTTTGACCAGAGTTGCAAAAAGGCATCATCTTTTACGTTGAGTCAATATAGCAATGATATTGAAACAAATGAGCAGGGGGTCATTAACAGAAACTTCTTAAAGTTTCAAATTCATAAATCAATTGTTGTAACCATGGATATAATGATGTCATGGTTAGAGAACAATGGACTTTATGAATTCTTAACTTTACGAAGTTTCTGTTAATGGCCTCCAGGTTATTTACACCAAAGTGATCCCTTGTGTAAAACAATTCTTAGAACAAGGCATTAACATGCAAACTGTCACCACCTACCAGAGGCTGACTGTCAAACGCTGTTACTAACACCAAACACTAAAAAGGCCAGAAAAAGGCTGGAGACTATGATAATATGTCACCACTTCTGGTTGTGACATAATGATAGTGAGACCTTTAAAGTACCAAGAAGCCCTGCCCTTCTCAAGAAGTGAAATCATAGCATGGGTTGAACGGTTTACATATTGACTCTTGCCACTCACTTACCACCAAAGCATCTGTGTATGTCTTCATTAAGGTTATTGAAGCTTCACAAATCACAATGCCATTAATCACTGATAAGATCATTTATCAGCTTTTGTGCAGTCAAATTAATCAATGTATTCAACCAGCAGCCCCTTTGGAATACGTAATAGCCAATTTGAAAGAAAATCAATGATTTATCAGAGAGAAATTATTATTTCCATTGGTAAAATATCTCTTATGAAAGTTCAGGTCAAACTTATAATACTGATTCCTGTCATAATGTTATCACCACTCGTGATGAGATATTGTTATGGTCTTCAGCTTTTTTGTGCATGGTGTTTGGTGGTTGGTGGCTGGTGTTTGGTTTCTGTAACAAAGGCAGGTGGTGACATTTTTGTATTTTTATCCCTGGTTTTCTTATTTTTGAATGACACGTCTGTCGTCTCAGATTTCCTGACAATTCTACACAATTTGAAATATAGTTATATAAAAAAGAAGCTGCTAGGTACATTTGGTATTAGATATTTATTGTTTTGCTCTTTAATAGGCCTACATAACATTGTTATGTTTTTAAATTAAATTCCTTGTAGATCTCCACCTATAGACATCTCACATTTCCTGGAAACAAAGTAGTGGGAGTTGGAGATCAGGAACATAAAAAACAATGCTTGAATTAAAAAGTTATAATGTTATTAAAATGTTCATAAAGATCTTGTACGAAGAATCCCTTCCCTGCTTCATTTGGGGCTGGGTGAGGTAACATCACTCTCTCTTTTAGGCACATTGGAAACAGTTTGGGGAGGAGATGGTACAGCAATTGCCCCAACAACTTTGACATGCTCCATTACAGCAACATGCCAATCCTACTGCAAAGTCAGTTGGAGCCCCTGGGAATCCAGGGTTTCCTCTAGTTGGAACCAGACTCACTGCTTTGCATTTCTTAATTTTGAACCTTGGGTTTTCTATAAAATGAAATAAGAAGTAGCTTTGTTTAATCGCTTATTTATCAAGTTATCATTTTGGTTTTTTACACCAAGTTGAGGTCTTAGCTGAGTTTTGAGGGTTTCTTCACAGTTTGGCAGTTGATCAATTATCAAATTAGAAACAGTGTTATATGGGCTATATCATAAGGGGTGCGCAGTGTTCGCGTTGACGCCGTTTTTTGCCATTTTTACGGAAATTTCAGAAGGTTGGACGTAAAAATCAAAATCAACTTACGTCCCTAGGACGCAAAAATTATAAACTGCTTCAAGATAACTTTTACTGCAGCACAGTAGCGGTGAAACATGATTTTCATCAAGATTTTCAAACTCACTACCTTGATATACGGCGAGCAATGATCCAGGTATATTTATATTGATAAATCTGATTGGCTATCATGACTTAAGTAGCGGTGAAACATGATTTTCATCAAGATTTTCAAACTCACTACCTTGATATACGGCGAGCAATGATCCAGGTATATTTATATCGATAAATCTGATTGGCTATCATGACTACCGAAGATTAACAGAGTTTCCAGTATGAGACATGGATTTTAATTGGTTCCGATATATTCCGGAAAATGCCGCAATCGAAATGGAAGATCAAAACATACAATATTGCAGAAATCCCCTGTGGTTCCCCACAAATTGAAACGATTGTTTTTCACGATTATTTTTATTATTTCCACTAGAAACCATTATATATCGATCTAATGTTATACATCAAGATAATTGTTTAATGATAGATCGAGGTTTTTCATCTAAAAGTCTTCAGAATAAGGAGAAATGTTAATAAAAAGAAGCAAAAGTTCACGACCTTGACATGACCTTCAAGATCGCAAGTTTGTAAAATGTGAAAACAAAACTCTTAGTTTGAGCATTTCCTTTATTCATTTCGGACTATTTTGGTATAACATTACTTAAGAATTGTGTGCAAAGGACCCAGTGATAGATATTTATCGGGAGGATGCATCAAACTACAATATATGTCATTTTTATCCCATTTTAGTGTAAGCACTCTATTATCGCCCACTTTATTTTCACTTTCACAATATTTTCTTGAACTTTGTGAAGAAATAAGAGGAACGCAAAAAAATTAGATGGGGACTCAAATTTTTCAAATGGGTTGCGTCCCTGGGACTCAGAAATTTTAATGGCTAGCGCGAACACGGTGGTCAAAGTCAAAAAACTATGTCAATTAAAAAATGAAATATTTAGTGTATGTATGAATATCTGTAATAGTTAATGCAGTGTATGATTATTCTGAGGATAATTTGATATCTCATAATTTGATGTGTGTTATCATGGTAGAGCTGGCATCAAATACGATTTTGATGTCGACATGTCGGAGCATTCGATCGATGACGTCATCAACCTTGTCATAGACAATCCACGTTTCCTATATTCAATACCAGCTCTATATCATGGTAATTTAAAAAGATTCCTAATTTGAAAAGTTCCTGTTACTAAAAGAAATTTTACATAATGGGAACTTTTTAGATGGTGTCAAAACTTCATAGCTTACTTGGTTTGACCGGGTTCATGCAAATCATTCCACAGCTACCCGCCTTACAGCATTTCTGAATTCCTCCGCAATCGCAATCATTTTTACATGGTCTCCCACACCGGCTTGAGGATGCTGCCATAAGTCCACGTTTTTCTGGTAATGGCGCCACTATTAGCTCAACTGCGACACTCGCAGATTGAATCACTTTTGGACATATACCTGGCTTGTTTGGATCTGGAATGTATGTGCCAAAATTTGACAAAATTAAGATTTTCAGGAGTAAGAAAACATAGAATGTTGAGAAAATAAATTCTCTAAAAAAAGAATCGATTACTGAGCAATGGGAGATGAGCTCAGTAACACTAAAAAAGATTAAGTCACAGAAAGGCCTTCTTCGATTGGATCCGAAATATGTTTTCTTTATGGCATTATCTTTAATCCATATAAGAAAGCTAAATCAAGAAATGTTCGGAAGATTATACATGTAGTCAGACTCTAAAAAGTGTCCTTACTTGTTGGTGTTAGGCAGTGCTTTACTGGTGATGACCCTGGGGCAGTCTTACATGTTGCACAGCACTTCTTTCCCAGTGGGCATAGCATCGGGAACTTACTACAGCTTTTGGGAGGGGGACAGAATGCTTCCTGTAAGCTGATACTAGTGGGGCAGCCACAGATGGGAAGTATGGGCTTTCTGCCAGGTTTACGTCCTTTGCGTCCTGGCTTTCTTTGAGCTTGCACTTGGTATATAGCCTTAAAATTGATGTGTAACAAGATAACAGCGAAATAGTTCATGTTTTTGACTCGCAGCGATCAAAAATCAAAGTATGTAATATGTCAAAAATACATGTTTAAGAAATTATTATTTTTAATCCAGTGAAATAATATTTTAGAGAAGAATTATGTCTATAGAAATGTCAACTCATTAATGAAAGTAAATAAATATTCTTATAAAACTTACCAATATAACTATGAAAACTAAAACCAATTTTTGCGTCATGTTCCTGATAGTTGATTTTGTTAGTCTTATGACTGAACTTGTTTGTTTTGATTTTATATATTCAGTCAAATGTCACCTATATTATTATTTGAAAAATAATTGTTTATCTAAATTATGAGCTGATCATATCAAATTCATAAATCATGAAATTCCCAATAATATAAGTTCATGATGATCAGCTTTCTAAAGGTGTAAACTTATTTTTACTTAAAGTTCAACAAAATAAGAATTTATGAAACATATCGATAAAAATATGTTTAATAATATGTGATATCCTCATTGAATCAAAAAGGGTACTTTTTGAGGGTGAGGGTTAAATGTTTAGGATGTACATTTTTGAATAGATTGAGAAGTTCATATGATTTATGATTTGTTCCAGAATTGTGACATAGATATTTTTAAAATCCAAAACAATAGCCTTTGATTTATAATTCTGTTATTTATGAGAATAATTTATTTGCTTATTTTTTAACAACAATAATTTTTCAAATATATACAAAGGTCTGATTAAACGCTTGGAACTTTTTGAATAGTTTATATCAATATTGATATATTGCATATGTTTAAATATGAAATATTGTACATTTAATTTATTTTACATCCTTGTGACACATATCCTTCACCTATTTCTCATTCTCAATAAAAATGGATAAGGTACCTAATATTTCATGGCATTTCTTGGACATTGAAATTAGTGTTTTCCATTGATTTTTTATCAAGTGGGTGCAAAATTCTCAAATATTTACCCAGAAATTATCAAGATTTGTCAATTTCTATGCTTTTTAATACTGGGTGCAAATTGGTTATAAATTTGGTGCAAGCCTATTTTCAAAATATCAGATGGATACAGCACCCATCTTAACAGTACATGTGCTTAGATTCTTTAGAGCTAACTGGGAGTGTTGACTTTCCTGTTTTCAAAATTCCTTGCTGATTCCACTCTCTACCTCCCCCCCCCCTTATGGCTCATTTGCAACGTGGCCATCATTGCATATTCTCTAGTGCTAGACATTGAGAAATTACAATTAAATTTTTCTGATTATACAAATATTATTGTTGTTTTGTGGGCACTATGAAAAGTATAAACCACATGCTAGTGCATACTAGCATACCCTCACAAATAAGTTCACAGAAATTATATATTTTTACTATTAATTTTCATAGAATTGATAAAAACAGATTTTCTACATCTTAATATGCAGTTATGGAGTTTAGAATTGATTATATTGTTTCTATTCATGGCTGATTCCTCTGTATTTCACTCTTTGGGGAATTCAAAGTTTGACTTAGCATGGAATTTTATGTACAGGAAAATAATAAATATATACAACTTTAATCCAAGGTTTATCAGATTAAAGCAAGTGGTCTAATCACACCCTTGAAATAAATGCCATTCAGTGTTTTTTAAATGCAAAGTCCACTGAAAATAATAAAATGAATGTTATAAGGAACAAATAAATTTCTGTGAAGTCATTATTCTAAATTGTGGGCAAATTTCGGAAAATGATGTACTTCTTAGATACAATAAAGAGAATAAGTGTGAAAATATGAAGTAACAGATATTTTGAGAGTTAAGCTAGGTTTACAATATAATATTGGATTTGTGTTATGTGCATTACATCCTGGTTCGTTGTTGTGAAAGTTTCCCATTTCAAAAAAGCAATCGTATTTTAATTTGCATATTACAACAGTAAGGGATACAAAAAGCATATAACACTATAAAGAGTCGCAAAATGCAAACTCTGTGGATTAGAAGGACATACCAAAATTTATTCACATTATCTGTGAACTTGATTGAAATTGAGTTTAGACGAAATGAAATCTTTTGGAATGGCTGTACATTAGTCTACCTCGACAGCTGATCGAGGTGTTTTGGCAATGTTTTGGAAATTGACATGGGAAAATTTTTATATTTAGTTATATTTCAGGCTGTCATGTTATTGTAGGAATTAGAAATAAATTATTGATATTTTCAGTGGTATTGTATATGTATTTTAGTTGATAATATAGATTATATATAAAAATATACAGTCATTATAGAATTAAAGTTGATTTGGTTTACATTTGTAGCTTTACTTCATAACTACAGAAAAATCAACCATTACATTATATGAATTCATTTGCATATAATTAGTACAGTTAATCATGTATTAGTAAGTTTTCATTTATATTCTATATGATGCAGTTTTAATTTATTTCTTCCTATGTATTTTCAGATGATATTGTCCCTCCGATGCCGAAGAGTCTCCCGCCTCCTCACCTTACCCCCTCCAAGACCCCCTTCACGCGTTATATACCCTCTCACGAATACGATCTCGTACAAAAGAACCTCTCACTCCTAAAATCAGAACTGAAAATCGTGTCGAACGATCGAGATAGGCTTAAGGAAGAGCTCCAGAAATCTAGAAATGCTAAAAATGAGTTAAAGTTAATCTCGAAGGAACGAGACACTTTAAAAGAGGAACTCTTGAAGGAGAAATCTTCACATTTTGATCATTATAAACAAGCAAGTGGGAGATCTGGGATGGAGTCTCATGATGTGGCCCACATGGCTTTAGTTCAGAGTAAATGTGACAATGCAATGTATGAACTTGAAGCAGTTAAACAAAAATATGCGGAAACGGAAGAGAAATCTATCAATGTGAACCACGAGAAGGAATATTTAAAGCAAAAGAACTCAATGTATATGACGAAGATTGAACGATTACAAGAGGAATTGAGCCAATCAAAATCTCAATACGGAGATGCGATGAACAAGAAAAAGCGCCTCGAACAGGAAGTATTAGAGTTAAACAAAGCTCAAGATGGCTATATACAAGACATTGAACTTCTTCGAAATCAACAACGAGAAGTCATCAACGAAAGTGGCTCCAGCGAAGTCCTCAACAAAATAAGTCAAAGTGCACTCGATAAATATTGGGATATCAAACCGGATTATGACAGCCTACGAAAACGGTACAATGACTTGGTTAGTGAATACACAAACAATATCGACAAAATGGCTCTCATTAAAGAAGAGCGTGATCGCCAAGTTGGAAGGTTTAACGAAAAAATGCAAGAAATGGAAGCATATAAAAAACAATGTACGGAGGCGATTCGTAACTGGCATAGTGTCACTAATGAGAAAAATGAGGTTGAGAAAAAAGTTTCCAAAATCTCGGAGGAATTACGACTTGAAGTGAATCAGAGTAAGCTGCTTAAACAGGATCTAGCGAAAGTGACAAAAGAACGTCATAAAGCAATACAGGAGTACCATTTGGTAATGTCCGAGCGGTCAACAGTACATAAAGAACTGGAAAATCTACAGGGTCAGTTGGACTCCTCTCTTAAAACAAACAGCGAGAATCAATCAGAGATTAAAAAACTAGAGAAAAAGGTTACTTCTTTGGAGCAAGAAATACAGACAATTTTAAAAGATCGCGATGAGGCTACCAATAAATACACTGAGATGAAGAAAAAATATGAGGATATAAGCAATCAACAGGAAAACGCTCAAAAAGAGCGGGATGTAGTCGAGCAAAATTTTGCATTTTTGAGTCAAGAATGCGACGTGGCTAAACGAGAGAGACAAGAGGCTCTTGCAGAAAAGGAAAGGATTCTTCGAGAAACTTATCAACAGCGTCATGAATTTACTGATGCTCATTCTGAAACTGACTGGCTACGAAAACAAGTCGCCAAATTAGAAAGTGAAATCAAAGGTAAATATTTTTAAGATATGTTTAAATCATAATTCAGAGAAAATGCCAAGTGTATATGTTTTATGATATATTTCATCAATTCAGTTCAAGTTCATTTTTTCTAAGAAGGAAAAAGAGCTTTGAACTAATTTAAGACTGTCTTCTAGTACTTTCCTACCCTTTGCATTCGTTTGACTTCACTTCTTAAAAGAGAGCTTCGTCTTCACTCTTTCAAACTAAAATATACCTGTGAACTCACTGCGCCAATCAGTGTTCGTCGGCCAAATTTGACCGACGTTCTATATATGGTCATTCCTACTGACGTCATTGTTGAGCACAGAATTGTCCAATGACATGCGCATATTTAATTAGAACGCATTTGGTGTATGCTTCTTCAAGCTCGCTGATTGGTGGAAGAAAGGTCAGCGCGTAGGTCAAAAGTGATTTATTACCCAAACTGTCACCGGTACCCGTGGTGGGGGCGGGGCTACTTAACTGTAATTTGGTCTCTACTAGGCAGAGTGTAGTTTAACTAGACTCTGCACGCAGGGTAGTACTTTCCAAAAATGGCCTTACCCTTGTGGCTACTGATAAGGATACTATACACATTTTTGAAAATTTCAGAACACAGTTCAAAATATTTCCTTTGAGTTGACATGTACATAATACTTGTGGCTGGTTACTGATTTTCTTCTGATTTTTCCATAAACCATAGTAAATCACTTTGAATGTATTCAGTAATAGCTGTCCTTTTGGCTATTTAGACTCTTACCAAGAGGTCCAGAATGCTCAAGACAGTCGCGACTGGGCTTTTGATGAGCGTGACAAAATTGTCCAAGAACGTGAAAGCATCCGTACCTTGTGTGACAAACTACGCCGTGAGAGAGACAAGGCTGTCAGTGAACAAATGGGGGCTTTAAGAGATCTTGATGAGCTGAAGAAACAGAAGCAAGAAGCTATGAAAGATGCAAAAGAATACAAGTAAGATTTCTGTTACAAAGGACAATAATCCTACACATGACAATGGTGTCTCCTAAAACTTGAAAAATCATTCTTAGAGTATTGTTTTTCTTATTCATAAATATTTATTTTTTTCTCATTATCAGTTGTTGGTCATTTTGCAGTCAGTGAAATATGATAATACTCATTATCAAAATAATAATCATTAGATACATCATCGTGTCAGTTATCATGTCATTCAGTTAAAGATGGCAAGACCTTTGTAGGCAAGAATACTCAGCTTTGAGGAAAATGCGGGAAAATGAATTGACCCTGTTCAAAAATGCCCATCCTTCATATAATGTATCACATATGAAAAAACCTCCACCTTTCTGTTTTTGCAGGGAAAGATATACAGCAATGATGGATAAAGAAAATAGGAAGAACATGTTGAATTCTGTCGGACAAAACCACAGTCGCGACTCTGCTATTGACACGGATATGCAGGAATGGGAGACTGAGACATTGGAATTTAATATTGTAAGGGAATACGTAATTAAATGAGTGGTTCAAATGTATCTCTAGGCATACCTTTTCAAATCCATTTCTATATTAAATTTAAAAAGTCTTTAGAGTCTGCTGATAACCATGCTCTGAAAAAATATGATCAAAAGTTAGTTTGATTGATTGAAGTTTTATGATTTTCTGGTATTTCCATACAATTTGGTGTTGTGACTTTGTGCCTTTTTACTTTACTCCTTGATAATTCCACTCTTTTCCACAAGTTTTTAAATTTCAAAATGTGCCCATCATCCCATTTCTCCTACTTCGGTTAGTGCCTGTATATATTCTTATGTTGTCAGTCTCAGTCTTTACCCCGTTGAATCATTATTTTGACATTTTATTATTTTGCATTTAGGGCTCAAAGAACCAGGATGACATTGGCTTCAATCTGATTGGTGGAACAGATAGCCCACAATTCCCTAATGACAATTCCATATTTGTCAGTAGCGTCATGAAAGGCAGTGTTGCGGATGGCAAGCTAAAGTAAGTATAATTTTAAGACCAAATACACCCTTGAGATATGCAGCTACCAATAATGGACCGGTCTGGTGCACCAGTATAGTTTTAAGACCAAAAACACCCTTGGAATAGGCATCTACCAATAATGGACCAGTCTGATGCAGCAGGGTAACCTATGCGGAACATCAATTGTTTTTTAATTTTTTTAATTTGAATCACCCATAACTTGCTTAATATCTAGAAAAGTCTGTAAATTTATTAACAAATCTTTACACGTGTTTATTAGGGTGAATGATCAAGTCCTGAAAGTGAACAATATAGATGTCACTAATGTTGAGAAGAAAACCGCGATCCAGGCAGTCCGTAACACCAGGGGTGGTGTCATCAATATGGTATGTAAAAGAATTCTTACCATCCAGCATATTTATTTTGATGTTTTGGAAGAAATTAGATATTTTTTATTTTAACTGATGATATGATTTTACAGGGTGTCCATAAAGTTTCTTTACAATTCCAAGTATGTGTAAAATGTTAAGAGACCATGGACACCCTGTACATTGGCTTGCATGTGTTAAAGCGGGTGTTTTATCAAAAATTTCCTTAATTTTTTCCAGGTTGTTCGCAGAAGGCGGTCTAGCAGTAAGTCAGTGATACCTGTACAGCTCAATACGATGGGAGAAGGTAGGTTTTTTGTGCGTCGTAATATTTCTTACGAAAACAATGATAGAATACTGTGAATATACGAGGGGAGATCACTAAAAAATTTTTGAAGTAACATATTTCTTTACTCCAATTTTCATTAAATTCAGTACTAAAATGTATAATGGCAATCTTCGTTATTTACTGCATTCACAAATTCTATCCTGTCATAACATAGTACAGTGATCTCCACAGGATTTTTTCTCAAGTGGGTGCATAATTTTCATTTTCACAATTCAGACGAAAATGGTCAAAATATGGCCATTTTACATGATTTTTCTCATTTTCAAGTGGGTGCAAATGGATTTTTTAAAATCCCAGGTGGGTGCTGCGCCCACTTGCTTTAATCCTGGGGAGATCACTGTAGTATGATCATATTGCTATAGAAAGGCTTTTCTAGTTCTCAAGAAGAACTCTTGTGTCCAGTTAATTTCAATTAAACTGTCACGGTAGACATGTATTAAATAGCATAATAGATTTAGGGAGAAAAACATTATTGATGTAAAACATCTTTACAAATGTTAATTGAATATGTGTAACCTTCCTGAGTGTGTTTCTACTTCATTACATATTCTTTCAGATTTGGGAGTGTCCATAGAACAGGGTTTCTATATCAGTAAAATAAGCCCTGGGTCACCTGCAGCCAGGGATAACAACCTAGCCATTGGGGATAGAATTATAAATGTAAGTTATTTCACAGATACGTAGGGGAGTAGGTTATGAAGGTGGAAGAAATAGATCATATTGAGTTGATACTTTGCTCTTTCATGCGTGTATGAAAAAATTGTAGTCATCTACATATTTTACTATTTTCTCAAATTGTGCTATATATTTTATTAAGTTTTTTAATTTCTTTTTATGTAAGCTTTTACTCCCCTACTTTTAATTAAAATATGTGCTGTACTTGTATTTGTTTAAGAAAATTGTTACAATCCATGTATTTTTATATTTTTTGACATTAGGTTAAAACATGTGCAATATTTTTCAGATAAATGGACGCAATGTGGAACAGATCTCTCTCAACCAAGTTAAGAACTTAATCCAAGACAACACTAGTGTTGTCCTTAATGTCCAAAAATTCCTGCCATCTCCCTTTAGTCCCGTGTCCAGTTTGGGTTCCCCGGGACCAGGAATGGGCAATCATCTCCAGAGTCCCTCCCCGACAATCAATTCCCCACACCAGGTTCAGTCCGATCTCAGATCTCCGTTGAATAGCTCCCTCTGGAGTCCACCAGGGGAGTCAACTTTAAAGATGGCAGCACTTAAAAATTTAAAATCCAGCGGATCGCAGACTGACAGCTTAGACAATCCAGAAAACTCTCCAAGAGATAAACCGAGAAAGATGCCAAATAGTCACGATATATTGTCGAGGATTTTTAAAACGAAAAATAAAGATGCTCACAAAAAGAGCGATAAGGCAATTGAGAATCTTCCGGGAGAAGATTATAGTGTTGAATTGGAGGCTGTCTTAGCGCAGCATTATCCAAGTGACTCACACTCTAAAGAAAAACATAGGAAATCGCGGGATCATGATAATAGCGGAACATGGCCTAAATATCGTGGCCCACCTACTGATTTCACAGATAAAGGGACTATAACCGTTCCAGCTCATAAGAAAAAGGAGAGAATACCTCTACACGAAGTGCAATTCCAACAACCGAACACAAACTATAACAACGCAAAACATAGTTCTCCATGGGTCCAACAGTTGGCGCCAGTACCTCCTGTACGTCATGATTCGTTCCATTATATTAAACACAGTCCACAGAATTCAGACGTTTCAACAACGACAAGTCAACACAAGTCCACGTCTTATTTACCCAGTTCATCCAAACAGCAACAAGTGCGCAAGAAAAGCACTGCCGAGGAGAAACAATTACGGGGTCTACGGTACGAATCCCATAGCTCCTCCCATGTTTCTACCAGCTCAACCCCAGACACATCCTCTGATTTTCTCAATTATCCAATCCCAACTCAAAATCAAAAATCTAGCAATCGACCATTTTCTGCGCCATCTAGACGGCAACAGGAAAGGGCACATAAACGCCACGAGGGTTACCCACCAAAACCTGACTCTCTAAATGTCCAACCTGTGTATCGTCAGAAGTCCCCAAGTTCGACACTTCCCAGAAGCCTCTCTGGCACCCCTCATTCAGATCACGGCTTTTCTCCCCGCACACCCTCAGAAAAAAGTAGTTCCGGTCATTTGTCGTACAGTAACTCTTCAAGCTACTCGCATTACAGGTAATGGTACTAATGCAACCTTGAAAATTAATACTCACGTGGTCTATTTTTATTTTTAATTGCAAAACAGTCACTGGAAATGGAATATATGAATTCAAAATGGAAAAAGATACAATTTTAGTGAAAATATCTATGAAAAGTCGGTGTCTTATGACGAGAAAAAAGTAAATGTTTTATCAAGGCAGAATCAGTTACATTGGGGATGAAAAAGTTTCAGTCAACAAATCACGTAATCCTCCTATGTTACACAGAGATAATTTAAAAAATGGGAAAAGTAGACCACCTTGTATTAATTTTAAAGGGAAGCTGCTTCCCCTGGTATTGCAAATAAATTCATATTTCTCCTATGTATTCTTTTCCTTATACATAGTTTGAATATTCCAAAGAAATATGAGTCTATTTGCCTGCTAAAAAATGAATTTTAATTTTGTGTCAGTGTTTTAATTTATTGGAACATTACATGTATTTAATTTTATGTATAATTATCAATGTTTGGGTGATGGGAATTTAACATTTAATTTGATGAATTATAATTTGATAATTTCATACAATCTTCATAAATTCTGGTGGAAGATTCAAATAATTTAATAATTATCTATTTTAATAAATAGTAATATAATGATTAACCTGAAATCATGGTGGCGGAGCAGGAGTTAATCATCGCATGTTTGTATATAATTTGATTGATTTGCTTCAACTTGAAGAGTCAGTCATATTTAAGGTTGAAATGAATGGAAGAGAAGCTTACCTCTTGAATAAAGCTCTGTTTGAGCATGGGCTTACAAGAGAAGGTCCATGGTTTGAGTGAAGCTTTTTTTGAATTGGGAGATCAGAGAGTGAGGTTTTCTCCTAATTCAGAGAGTTTGGCTTATCCTGGATGTTCTTTATTGACGAGCAGACTTGGCAATTCAATGTCTCATCAAAAATTCACTTTTCTATTTTTTCCCTATATATTTGACTGATTTTACAAGTGTCTTTGAGATGTCATCATGGTCATATTCTATCTAGGCATAAGAAGATAATATAGAAATAAGGTGAGGAACAGGCAGAGAAGAAAAGAGCCACCAAAATTGCTCTCAAAAGTTCACTTTGTACTAGATTTTTAAAATCTAGCATTTTTTCAAGTTTTAGAGATATAACTATGTAGAAAAGAATATGACCATTAGTGACATTTCTGTATACATTGATGGTATCTGGTGTAATATTGCACAAGGTCACACCTGCTTTACAGCTCACCTATCCCCCAGCAGGCTTTGCGGTTTACACCACCTGCTGTCCCATCATACATTGCACCGGGACAGCGATCACTGCCACCTAGTGGAGGAATTGTTTCTCCGCCATTACCTTTTATGGCAAGCACTCCTCCTGGCACAACTGGCAGGTAATAGTATTTTCCAAATGAGGTTTTCTCCCAGAATTCACTGTCTCCCGGATCTTCTCAGGGTATGCATAACATAGTAATAAGAAGAGAACTTTTAAGTTCATATAGTGCCCTCTCCCAAGAAAAAAATGAATTGTTTCCAAAAATAATTACTTGGAACTATTTTCTGATTAAAAAAAGAAATTTTCCCTAAAATGTTAACTGATTTCAAGATAGGGAATATCCCAGAACTCATGGATGAACCTATCTTCATGTAGAGATTAACCTCTAGATGTTCATCTTCACATTATAGATAGGTGTATCAATGCATTGTGGGATATTTCTTTTACTGATATTTGCAGTCTGATTGGTTCACACAGAAACAGCTTTTTATTATGTTAAACCAATCAGTATGAGCACCAGGACACATTTTGTGAAAACTTCATAATATTCATTTTGTAGGAAAATATAATCCTCCCTTTAGTTAATCCACTAATTAAGGTCCTAATCTGACCACTTATTGACAGTCAGTAATGTCAATGGCCTTTTAATATTAGCCTTTGGAACTTCAAAGCAGAAGAAAAATAGAATTTCTTTGGTATTAGGGTGTTAGAATTCATTCTTAGTTTAGGTAACCTAATGTAGTAATCTTATATCTAAAAAAAATTCTAACAATATTGATTAGAGAAGAAGTTTCAATGTCCAAATGATCATATTTAAGATGGTGTCATTTTGAAACTTTGATAGTGGTAGTGGGTTCTTAATATACAGGGTGGACCAAAAAGTTTACCCTTATTATATTCCTGCCAGGTCATAATAGATAACATTTTTTGTTCCACTCTGTACATGTATGTATTATGAACTTATGAGCAATTTTTCAGACATAGTTCACCACCAGGATTCTATGCAGGGTATGTGCCTCCACTACGCAGTATGAACTCTTCAATACCGGAGATAGAAACCTTAGAGAAACCGCCAGCATACCAACCACCACGTGGACATAGAAGTATTTCTCCTGCATCCTCCAGACAGGTATTATAGTGTAACAATGTAGATAAGGGATGGTTTCAAGTCCAAAATTATTTGGAGGTCAAAAAGTTACAAAGTCTCTGTTCACTCGTCACTGGTGAATATTATTGCATGATAGAACCAAGCAAAATAAAAACTTCAGCCATACATAAAAGCCTCGGATGTATACTAGCATTTTTTATTATAACCAAACTGTTACATAACTACATGTACATTACATCAGGCTTTTTGTAACATGAAAAATATAAAGTTTGAAATCCTGTTTGTCTTCATGTTTTCAGAGTAGCGGACTTGACAGGGGTACACCTACCCCAAGCGAGGAGTACTACAAATACAGCAGAGGCAGAAGTACACCCGATTCCGCAACGGACACTACAAATTTTGCGAAAAAAGTCAACAATGAACGAATCCGTATACCATCCATATCTCAGATAAGTTCTGCATCTAAGTCATCCAGAGGGAACATCTCTGCAGGCTCATTTGAAAGGGGTAAATATCTGATGGGTCAATTTTTAAAATATAAAATCAAGTATAGATAAGATGAATTCATAAGATATAAGGTTAATGGGCATGTAGTCAACATTCTAAATTGTACAAAAATGCTAGAGAATTAGACACTTCATTCAAATTTTTGAGAGAAATTGAGCTAAATAAACATTAGCATTAACCATCACCACGTTTGAGGCATTAAATATGAAAGGAGTCATGTGGAACAAGCTTGACCAGTATTACATTTATTTTATGTATAGTTTAGCTTTGTAGATGATTCTGTCTGGTACTAATATCATGGAAATGATTTGGAAAAAAAATTTGTACAAGTGTTATCTATTTGCAATAAGATTTTACACATTATTACATACTAGGAATGCTTCGGTAAATAGTTACATTATTGACCTTCCTAGTGTTAAGTTTAGAATTTATGAATCACCCTGTATTTTCAGTTTCCATGTCAGACAGAAGCAGCCCTATATCACCCTACCCCGGGGACATGAGCTCTACAGGGTCCCTCCCCAGGCCTACAATTACTGTCACCCCCAGAAAGAGAAAACGACCTCAAATTGGGGAATGTCGCGAGATTACAATTGAAAAAAGCTGCGAGGCACTCGGAATTCAGATCCAGACTAGAAACGGGGGAGTTTTTGTGTCAAATGTGGTGGAAGGAAGTCTTGCCCAGCAGGTTTGTGTTAATTTTGGGATTTCTCATATTTTTCAAATTGAGTATTAGTGTTCTCGCCTGGATTTTCTCTTATGGGTGCCAAAGTTTCATTTTCACAGCTTAAACTATACCAAATTTTCTCATTTTCACAAGTTGGTGCAAACAGGGTTTCTGATAGGTGTAAGCTATTTTTCGAAATCATCAGCATTGAGTCACTGTTTTTGCTTCTACGAATAGTTAATGTTCGGTGGTTGGTGTTCAGATGTTGGTGTTCAGCATTCAGGGGTTAGTAACAAATGGCAGGTGGTGACATTTTGCATGTTTATGCCTTGTGCATGAATGCTGTTGTGTACCATTGTGATTAAATGATTTTTATTTATGTCTGTAGGCATGTATGACAGTAGGGGATCAAATCCTAGATGTCTGTGGGGTGAACCTGCGTAATGCAAACCAAGAACACGCCACAAGGGTCATGCAAGGCCTCGGGGACAATATCACAATGAAAGTACAGTACAATCCCAAAAGTAAGTCTCCCGGAAGTACATGTATTCAATAAAATCAAGAAAATGAATTTTTTGTGAAAACGTTTACATATCATGATTTTAACAGTTTAACAGTTGCGATGATATCATAACGTGCCAGTTAAAACTTTGTTCCATACTGGGATATATGTGAAATGCTAATCATCATCTCTTGTCTTAAACCCCTCAACATAATCACGAGTCAACTCAAAAAAATAAAGGATGAGTCTGGGAATGAGTCTGGGTATCGACTTAGAAAATATTGAAAATTGTAATGTCTGAAAAACCAACTCAATCACACATATTATTAAACTTCAATATCTTATCCTTCTTCTGAGAGTACAAAAATATTAATTTGTATCACAATTAATGTAGAATATTAGAATCAAAGACAGTGCATATCACTTTATCAGAATTGAAAAAAAATCAGTGGCAAATATTAAATGAATTATTTATACAAAAGGTTTGAAACATATCCTCGAAAAACATTGCTTACTTTCTTTGTATAGATAGCGGAATCAATTGGTGAATGATCTTGCGTTTTCATACTAAAGTTTGTTTTTGAGTTTTTTCTTATAGTTTTATGTATTTAAAGTTATTTAAGAGACAGGGCCCTTTTTCTAAAGCACTTTTTAGAAAAATAATTGAGATTACACAGAATAACTGTTATTTCTGCTTTTTTAACACAATGTTAATAGAAAATTCAAATTCCAAACTCCTTATCTCACTATAATTCACCAATGGAGAATGGCAATTGAGCAACCAAACTTGGCACAAAGTTTGATCCTAGGATAAACTCTAATCTTAGGGCTTTGATTTTTTATGATATCATATATTTGCCTAGCAACCACATAGCAACCGCCTAAAATAACATATTTTACAATATAAATCCACTTAATATATGCTAGGATGCTATAAGACCATTACAAAAAAGTATTGTTATCCTAAAATACAACAGTTAACATATTTACAGAAGTGACATCACCATGTTGCATAGCAACAACATGGCAACAGGTTACAATGCCCATTTTGACAATTGCAAACCATATATCTGTTATATGTTCACTGCTTTTGGATCTCTTCCACATTATTTCTTAACATATAGCAAATGTATTGATGCAGTTACTGTATAAGTGGTAATTTTGCCTAATCATTTAATTTGCCTATTTCCTAAATTTTGCCAGGTTCGGAAAATTAAATGTCGGAAATATTGTCTTTATAATGTTATCCAATGGGAGGTTTCTTGTCATTAGGAAAATTAAAATTAGGAAAATGATGAAATTTAAACATTCGGAAAATTAACCACTCGGATTAAATTCCACTTATACAGTATGTCTGACCATTTTCCCCAGCAACAGCTTGAAATAAAGGTTAAATTTGCCTAGCAATGACCTAGCAATGACCTAGCAACATCTTAAAATAGCAATGTTTCTCATAAGAATTTCACTATATATCCACTATATGTACTTGAAGAAAATCAATATATTTGTCTTTTGTAATTTATAAAGCTATATAGTTGCTCACTTAGAAATCTTGTCTTACATATATCAAATTGCAATTCATGTTTCAGTTCTGAGATAAAGTAATCACGAAATATTCATCACATTGACACTTGATACATGTTCAGCATTGATACCCCTAAGATAGTACTTTATTTTGGTGAATTGCTTCAATTTCCTTTGCAGGTGCATAGTTCGATGCAGTAGAATGCACCATGGTATATGCAGTTCCCTTTGCAGTCACATTTGACTTTACATGCTTTGGATGCTTATGCAATATTGTCCATCTGCGCACCCACAATCCTGATGGGCTCCTTAACCATCCCCATAGGGTTGGTGAAGGAAGAACTGGATCCACTATATACCACTGCCCCCATACATGTGCTCAAGCAAATTCATAAATTGGAATGAAGTGTTAGTTTTGCCTTTTGAAAATGCTACATACGAGGGGTGATCAATAAGTAATGGACGCTTTTTTACACAGATGCTTTTTATAGACCAATCCCTTCAATTTTCTTACCAGTGATACATCATTCAATTATCTATCAACTCTGAAGATTTGAAAACAAAACATGTAATATATTTTGATATATCTTTAATTCCATGAAGGATGTGCAGGTACCCCGGGACCGACATCACGTCAAACATTCTGAAGCTATTTTAGCTTGTTTAACATGCAATGCAGTTGAATGCAGGCTGAACAACACAAACCATTATGGTCATGAATTACCCCATTTTGTTATGCCATAATTGATTTTGAATATTTTATCATCACTATTTGGTATTCATGCCACATTCATTCCACAGGGCCCTCTACATAGGTTCCATCAAGTGCTACATGTACACAATTCCTCATCCTCTTAACTCAAGATTGTGAGACAAGGCTGAATCCATTCTCTGACATGGTAACAAGATGCAGTTGCACGGGTTTTATTTCATCAATGTCAATAAACCTGCATCCTTTCTCTATAGAAATAAGTAGTATAGAAATAAATAAGTCACGTGTGAGCAGATCTGGACAATATGGTGCTCTGGCCAAGATCTCAATTTTGAGGTCCATGGTTATTGTTTTCTGAACATTTTGAGATCTGTGGGCAGGTGCATTGTGCATATGGAATAGGTGTTCCCTTCTCTCACCACCCCTTTCTTCCACAATGCTTTCTCAAATTGAACCCCTTCCATACAAAACTCTGACATCACAATACTTTCTGTTTATGTGTTACCAGTCAGCCAAAAAATCAAACAACACAACACTTGTTGCATATAAAAAGGTCAAATCTGACTGAAATTTGCCAAACTGGCTAAAAGCTGAATATGTGACGTAAATGTCGGTCCCGGGGTACCTTACCTCCTTCACGGAAATAAGGATATATCAACATGTATTATATATTTTGTCTTCAAATCTTCAGAAGTGATAGATAATTGAATGACGTATCACTGGTAGGCAAATCAAAGGGATTGTTTCATAAAAAGTATCTGTGTAAAAAAGCGTCCATTACTTATTGATCACCCCTCGTAGATCTCAATCTGTAGCTCAGAGGCACAGGCTATTAGGCTATCAAAACATAACTGTCCACCGATCTTATCATAAATGTCCTGCAACCTTTTCCGATACCATTAGACACATCCAAAAACATATGTGTATCTGCCTCTTCCTGGGAGCAGGGACTATTATGTCATAATTAGCAGGATTACTGATGCACTCTCCTTCAATAGTTGAGACAAAGATTCTATCGTCTGCCATAATATGTCTTGTAACAGTTGCTAGTAGTGCAAAGAACTCTATCTTGTTGTCATTGATTCTGAGAAATCCTATCCTAACACCAAACTACCAAGCAATTGGCAAGACTTTCTAGAAAGATAGAGCTCTTTGCACAATTCCTACATCCTTCAGCATCTCAAGTGGTAAAACTTTAAACTTTCAAATTAATGACTTTTATGTTTCAGCAAAGCCCGGATAAGATTTAAGCTTTTAACAAGTATAACCTTGACCTAACGGTTCAATAAGTAAAATATGGTGTCTTGATTTAAAATCTCTATACTAGTATTTTGAACACGCCCTGTTGTGATACATATACCCCATATGCTGGATTCATTGGAATATTACAATCCAAATGTGGAAAATTAACATGTCATGAGGCAGATACATATATGTTTTTGCATGTGTCTCATGGTGTCGGAAAAGGTTGCAGGACATTTGTGATAAGATCAGTGGACACTGATGTCCTTGTGATAGCCTTAGCCTGTGCCTCTGAGCTATAGATTGAGGTCTATGTAGCATTTTCAAAATGCAAAACATATCGCTGCACTTTAGTTCATGAGATTGCTAGAGCACTAGGACCACAAAGATCACGTGTGCTGCCAATGTTCCACGCCCATACTGGAACTGATACCACATCTGAAATTTACCATCAGAGCAAGGTGACAGATTTCAAGCAATGGAACTTATGTCATGATCTAACAGGTGTCCTTTTGACTTGAGCAGATGGCTCATAAACCATAACAACAGAAGTTACGGGCACAATTGAGAGGTTCATTATCCTGGTTTACCAGCCTACAAACAGTGAGACAAATCTCAATGTTCACATGTTCACTCATGACAGATGGATCCCGATAGAGTACCTCCAACATGCGATGCAGCACTCTATCATGCTATGCAAGCAGCTCTCCAAGGAACACATGTATGGGGGCAATGGTATATAGTGCATCCAGTTCTTCCTTCACCAAACCTATGGGGATGGTTTAGGAGCGCATCAGGATTGTGCGTACCCAGATGGACAATATTGGCCAAGCATCCAAGGCATGTAAAGTCATAATTAAATGTGGATGCATCAAATGTGACTGCAAAGTGAACTGCAAATTCTACTGCACCGAAACTATGCAACTGCAAAGGAAATTGTAGCAATTAACCCAAATAAAGTATTATCTTAGGGCTATCAATGCTGAAAATGTAACAAGGATAAATATGATGAATATTTTGTGTTTACTTTATCTCAGAACTGAAACATGAATTGCAGGACTTTTGAAATTTGATAAACATAAGACAAGAAATATCCCATCATGCTTTACACAAGAGACTACAGATTTTTTTTGAATGTGCAGGAACAAAACTTTATAAATTAAAAGACATACATATTAATTTTCTCCAAGTACATAATAGTGGATATACAGGGTGGGCCAAAAAATTTTGCAACCTTTTTAGAAGGCAAAAAAAGTATCATAACATTATGGTATTGACATGAAATTTTTTTTACAGAAACTTAAGGTTAGGCATATTTTACCATTCAAATATTTAAGCTAATACTGACTTCAAATTTTTTTGTCAGATGTTTGAATATTAATGGTAAATTGTTCATTTGTCCAAGATTTACCATTTTTCCGAGAAAACCTGACTTTCTATGATTTTATGTGATCAACAATAACACATTCATTATGTTTACTAAATCTGCTACAATCTTTGATAACTGTTTAACCAATGTCTAGTACAGGTTTATATCAGGATCTAGTCACTATGGTAATATTGTTACACTGTATTAATTATTTATTAAACAAATGTTCTATGCATCCGCCTTTCACCTCAACAATCACATGGAGACGAGAACTGAACTGGTCAATGGCGAGATCCAGCAGTTCTTGTGGTAGTCGTCTCCACTTATCCTGCAGAACTTCTTATAGTTGATCAATAATTTGTGGGGTATAACCATTGACTACAATACATTGCTCTAGGTGTCCCCATGTGTGATAGTCCCAGGGGTTGGCATCTGGTGTATTTGGTGGCCATTCGACTCAGGACTAATCTTCTTCAAAAGGGACATCTTTCAAGAATGGGGGCTCTTTCAGCCCCAAGTGATTACATATTCCAGCAGGATAGCGCGCCTGACCATAGGCCAAAAGTCACTATGGAATATCTGGAGCAAAATACCCCTTGATTCATTAGTCCTGATGAATAGCCGCCCAATACACCACTTAACAAAGATTGCAGCAGATTTAGTGAACATAATAAATGTTCTATCGATGATCACATAAAATGATAGAAAATCACATTTTCTCGGAAAATCGGTAAATCTCGGACACATGAACAATTTACCATTAATATTCAAACATCTGACAAAAAAATTTGAAGGCAGTATTAGCTTAAATATTTGAATGGTAAAATATGCCTATCCTTAAGTTTCTGTAAAAAAAATTTCATGTCAATACCATAATGTTATGATACTTTTTTTGCCTTCTAAAAAGGTTGCAAATTTTTTTGGCCCACCCTGTATAGTGGGATTTTTATGAGAAACATTGCTATTTTAAGCTGTTGCTAGGTCATTGCTAGGCAAATTTAACCATTATTTCAAGCTGTTGCTAGGAAGTTGCTAGGGAAAATAGTCAGGCATAACTGCATCATTTATGCTTAAATACAATTTCTGTATGTTAAGAAATAATGTGGAAGGGATCCAAAAGCATACAAGTGAGTATATAATAGGAATATGGTGTGCAAATGTCAAAATGGGCATTGTAACCTGTTGCCATGTTGTTGCTATGCAACATGGTGATGTCACTTCTGTAAATATGGTTGAGTTGTTGTATTCTAGGATAAGAAGACTTTTTGTAATGGTCTCATAGCATCCTAGCATATATTAAGTAGATTTATGTTGTAAAATATGTTATTTTAGATGGTTGCTATGTGGTTGCTAGGCAAATATATGATTTCACAAAAGACCAAACCCCTCAGATTAGAGCTTATCTTAGGGTCCAACTGTGCGCCAACTTTGGTTGCTCAACTCCCATTCTCCATTGGTGAATTATAGTGAGACAAGGAGTTTGAAATTTGAATTTTCTGTTAACATTGTGTTAAAAAGCAGTAATAATGGGTATCCTCTGTTATCTCAATTATTTTTCTAAAAAGGGCTTTAGAAAAAGGGCCCTGTCTCTAAAATGTCTTGAAATACATAGAACAATAAGAAAAAACTCCAAAACAAACTTTAGTATGAAAACGCAAGGTCCCTATGGGGGCCTTGCACCAATTGATTCCACTAAGACATTGAATGGTATTTCTGGATAAGTGAATTGGTGTTTATCTGGGTAATCAAGGGATTATAGTCACTCAAAGTTACTGAGCATCCAGTTTTGCGACTTCAATTGTGTTGGTAAAGTTACACATATTTCAGTCAAATTCATGCTGAGCACAATATTTTGGTTTCAATTTTATAATCTCTATACATGACCCTGGTGATGAAGAGTCAGAATCAGTCAAAAAACCTAAACCGGAAAACTGTGCTCATTGTGAAAACTAAAAGTGAAGCAACTTTTTTTCTGATATTTCTTACATCAAATGGCAGCCATCTTGTTTTTCCCCCTTCAATTTAAACTGGCGGGAAATTCAAAAAATTTGAAAAAAATTTTAATCCTTGAATATATTTTAAAAATATGATTTTCTTTTAAATTCTTCATGGGTCTTAAGTTATATCTTCTTTGTAAGTCATACATGTTGTCATTGGTGTTTTTTCAATGATAATGACTATTTCTTTTTTGTTGAGATACTTATTCTGACTCTCAGCAGGGGGTTAATTATGCATCAAAACTCGTGAAAAAGTAAATATACTTATCAAATATAACTAGGACAGTAATAAAAACCATGTTTCACATATATTTGACTGAGGGACCAAAAGGGCATATACCTGGACACATCCTTTCAGCTTCTCAATATTCATACATTTTGTATAATTTCAATATTACAGAATACACCGATTCAGAAGATAGTGCGTCTGGTGATGTGCAATCTGTGGGGTCATCCTCCATTGTTAACAGCCCCTCCCACAATTCTGAGCCCCATAGGATTAGTAATGAGACCCTCACATCAGCCACTCCCACAAATACACCAAGGCATAGTGCCCAACCTAGGTGAGTTAGGTGTTTTAAATTTAATGACCTATAGTTTTTGTCATGTATAAATTGAAAGATAAATTATCAAACCCTTTTAAGTCCAAATGATGATACAATTCACATTTTGTTTTATTCTAAATCGTGATCAATTCTAATGCTTAAGAATGACGATAAATTTTATTGTTTTTGTCTAAAAGATGATCAGGTTTTGATATTTTAGTCAAATTAATGATTAATTCAAATGTTTTAGTCTAAATGATGGCAATATGATGATCTGTGAAGAGCCAAGATTTGTGTTCCTCAAGAAGACGTCAACAACTCTAGGGATAGGTCTGATTGGTGGAAATCTGACGGGGATCTTCGTTCACGAGGTTCACAAAGACAGTATTGCCAGTGGCCACAATGGGCTGCGATGTGGTGATCAAATCTTAGAGGTTTGTAAATAGATGTAATTTATTTGAATTCATCAAGGATAAATGTTATTGTTGATCTTTTGTATATTTCCTACTGTGAAGGGACTAATGGAGGTGTTCAACTTTCGAAGATATTCAATTTAACAGGTTTTACTGTACATGATCAAGCTGTTCAATTTGAGCAACAATAACAGAATTGCGTGTTATTTTATTGGCATTTTTAGAGATTAATGTCATTTGGCTGCTTTAAGAGGTGAATTATTGACATATTGGTCTTGTCGTATTGACACATTTCTCTTGATATATACTGTTATTATTGGCATATTGAACATTCTGTTGACATTTTATTGAATAAAACTTCATTTGAAGATGATACAAACATGGTAAATGAAACAATTTATCTTTGAATAATATAGCGTATTATTTAGTAATTTGACAAAAAATCAATCAAGGACTATATTGAGAATGTTGTATTCTTACTCATGGGCATTCAATTGAAAGCCCATGTCCTCCTGTATTATACAAAAAATTATTTTTGAAAATGTTTATATATATTTATATATTGATTGTCAAATTGAGAATACCAGCCACCAAGCAAGCAATATGTGAACAATCAGAAAGGGTGATTTATAACAGATTGACAAAATTTTATTCATTTCATTTTTTCAGTTTAATGGCAATGACATAAGGAATGCCAGTGCTGAACAAGCAGCAATTGAGATTTGTAAACCTTCCCAGACAGTCAGCATACTTGCACAGTACAATCCAGCAAGTAAGTATAGTATATTAACTTGCAATCCAGCAAGTAGGTATAAATATATCTATTAAAAATGACTCATGGCTCACGTTTTGAAATAGTTCGAAGAAAAAGGCCAAAATCAGCAATTTTAGATAGTAAATGACAATCATGACAATAGAAATAATTGAATAACTGGCACATGCCTTGACAATTTGTGGGAAAATTCTGTGATTTTGTGCTTTGATGAAAAATCTATTTGTTCTATCACCAAAAATGGGAAAAATTAAGTGTTTGTAATGGATTAGTCTGGCCACAAGCGCTTGCCCTTGTATGAGAAGGTTAAGTAGGTTTAGTTAAGTAGGGGGGGGGGGGGTCCCAGAGGCTTGTAGCTGGACTACTAATGGATTTAACATTCATTCATCCATTGATATCTCACACCTCAATTACTTCCAGAATATTCAAAAATCAAAGACCAACATTGCGATTCCTTCTACACTCGAGCCCTCACTGACCACTCTGTGGAGGTTGAGGGAGATTTGGCCTTCAAGAAAGATGACATTCTGTATGTGGACAATACACTGTTTAATGGCAAGAGTGGGCTATGGAGGGCGTGGTTAGTTGACTCTGAAGGCAAGAAGGGCGCATGTGGGACCATCCCCAGTAAAATGAGGTATGTATGGGCATTCTAGCGTCACATTTGATCTACAGCAACCATATGGCAGCCGTTCTTGGGCTTCCCAAAATTGAGAGAAATATGCACCATAAAATATATAGATTAGCAGTATGATGTAGAATTTTGCGAAGTTTGTGAACCTACGGCCGCCGTATGCCCTCCGTATAGCCAATGTGACTGAGTCTTAACCCCAAGCAGTAACTTTACATGTATGACAAGTGTGAACTTTTATTAGTAGATGCAACAGGTGTGGAATATCATGGTTCTTAATAACATTGTATTTTCCAAAATTCTTCAATTAGATTTCACAGAGTAGCCTATATTTGGAACATTCCAAATAAAAAAATTAAATGTTCTTTTCCAGAATGGAGCAAGAGTTATATCTGAAGCGAAGTCTCTCCGATTCCATACAAGAAGATGAGTTGAAAAGTGCGTCGTCACGTCGCAGTACTGCATCAGCTCGACGCAGCTTTTTCCGACGCAAGAAACACCAAAGAAATAATTCAAAAGACAGCCGCGACCTTCCGTCATTCTCAGATGCTTCTATAAATAGCGATAGCTTGCCTATCTTAGATGGTGAGTTTTTTTATTTCAGTTGAAGTTTGAAATAATATTCAAGTTTGAATGATCATCTAATTTGATAAGAAATTGTATATTAATGCATCTCAAAATTTAAAAACAGAGAAATCTTTAAATTCCTGGACATATTGTCAGCTGGATGTCAAAGAAAGCAAAAATAAGACATTCTGGCTTTTAAACTTTGAATTGACCTTTATAGGCCTGCAAACTAAACTGAAGCATGTCCCATGGCCCAATCGTCCCTATGTTATCCCAACTTTAATGATATTTTGTTACATTTTTTATGTTCATGCTAGCTATTATATTCTTTTTCTCTCAGATGTGTCAACTGTCGCCTACCAGAAAGTAGAACGTCTTGACTCAAAGGTTTGTCGTCCTGTTCTCATCCTGGCACCACTGGCAGAGTCTCTCATCAGTAAACTGATACTTGAATCACCCGACAAGTTCCAGAGATGCGAAACAGGTATTTAATTTTAGTACTCTTAATCAACATTTGCATAAAAGCAATCTGTATTGAAGTATTCTTTTGTGTGACATATTTCTACCATTGTGATTCACCCAAGAGCTCTCCCAAGCATTGAGGAAAGTAGGCTTTGCACCCACTTGAGATTTAGAAAAAAAGCCTTGCACCCACCTGAAAACCCATATGCACCTACTTAAATTTGAAAAAGTTCATAAAAGTTGGCATATTATGACCTATTTTGAAAAAAAATCTAGGGAGAACTCTGAATCCCATAATTTCCCAAATTTAAACCATAAAATTCAAGGTGACTAAAGATTGAGTTTATAATTTTAGAGATTGCACGAGCATCAGAGGTGGCCATGCAGAAAGGTGAAGCTGAGGGCATCTGGGTGGACTACCAGCGCAAAGGCAGTCACTATGAGTGCTTAACAATCGCATCAGTCAAGGAAATATTAAATGTGGTAGGAATATTGTGATAAGAAATTAATAAGGAATTATTATTATTCATACCACCGTTATTAGCGGAATAATTCTGAAGTTTTTTGCAATTCATAAATTGTTTTTTGAGTTGAACAGAAATCTTTAAATTGATATGTAGTTGTATTTATAGACTATAGTGAGAAATTTATTTGCACTTAATGCTGAATGAATGAATATAAAATTTGATATAATAGTAATCTATTTTCTATTTTAGGGGAAGCATTGTCTAATAGACTGTAGCCCTATGGCAGTTGAGAGATTACACAGGGCTCACATATACCCCATTGTTCTTTTTGTGAAGCACAAGTCTCCCAAACAGATCAGGTATAGCATAAGTAACTCCGGGGACTGGTCGTCAAGTAGTAGGCGTTCAAGTATTTCTAGTATTAGAAGTACCGACAGGTCAGTGAAAGTGCAAAATGACAGGTCCCTGCAATTCCCGGCGTTCCCATGCAGCTGGTTGTGGACAGAGCTTGCGTATGGAAGAAATCCAGAAACTCCTCATTTTTTTCATCGCCTGGATATGATAATGAGTTTTAGCTTGCTGAAGGTGTTTTTGATTTTGACAAAAATCATAATCCTCGGGCTATTTGTTTTTCCATCACTCTGTTGCTTGGTGACAGGCGCAGAGCATCATTGCCTTCGCCATTCCCTATCTCCATTTTTTGTCCAAAGATTGCTTACTGAAGTACTGACTGATAAAACATTCAATTTGTGCTTGTTTTAAGTCAATTTGCTTGTTTTATTTTGGTATCATTTTAAGATAAAGTGTTCATATTTTTGTCTGCCTCGCTTTTAAATGTACTAGAAACACCATTATATATTATAAGATGCACACATAAATGTACCCATAAATGATTCATACATATTTTTATCTTTTTCACCCAATGTTCACATGTCTCAAGATCCATCCACATTTGTGACTACATTTAATGGTTCCCAATTCATATCACGAGGACTTGGTTGTACCTATTTAGCCTCATTTCGCAAAATAATTTGAATAAAAAGTATGATTTTTTGGCGTTATTGAACAATTTAGAGTGTTGACTACATTCCAGTTTACTTCATTCCTTGCTGATTTCATTCTTTTATATTCTATTTTGCATTTTAAAATATGACCGTCATGTAATATTTTTCCTATGGAGACCCTTATACCATCATTAAACAAGTCTATAAGATTTTGCACCTAGCTTTCACTGACCTTGCTTGGTGTATATTTTTCATAGTTTCCACTTCATTTAGGGCTAACATCCAAACATCAATGTTTTGATTAAACATCAAACATCACAAAGTTAATTTTATTTGGGAGTGCGGCAGGGATGATTTAAGTCTCAAAGGCAATAACTTTTTAGAGAACTTGTTTGGTTTGAAACATTGATTTTGGACTCAAAATCAAAATGTCTAAGAAATTGATGATAATTTTTATTTTATGGGAAGAAACAACTTTTGACTTTGTGATTTGGTCTTGTGCATTGATATTTTGGTGGGGTCCTTTATAAAGTAGATATACAAGTAAATAAGTAAATCCTGGTATTAAAGTAGCTTTTCATTTTGGTCAATCTAAGGGGATATTCAATTGCATTCATTTTGTGCCAAATACCTTTAGGGGTGTTTAGTAGCATTGTGGTACAATAAAGTAACTGTTTTTTTATTAAACTAAATCATTTATTCTGAAGCAAATATGAATGTCATACTAGAAAATACATTGCATTTGTTTAAACAGTGTGTACTACATATTGTAAACTATTGTATATATTGTAAGTACATATTGTGTACTAAGTACATCAGTCACTCCATCTATATTAGCCATGTTGGAAATAACAGAACAGGTGAAATGTATTAAATGACTAAAATACTGAACTGGGAGTGTCTGAATTCTGAGGAATTTTTCCTTCAATAGTCGGTCTATTTTGTTTGAAAATAATTTTTTGTACTTTTCAGGGAGGTGAAAGATACAAGGTTCCTCCCGGAAAAAGTCACAAACAAATCTGCCAAAGAAATGTTCGAACATTTCCAAAAACTCGAACAGGACTACAAACATATTTTCTCAGGTATGGAATATAATATTCTTATTTTTTTTACATATAATATACATGTAGGAATGCCATACTTATCTTAAGTATTTAGAATGCATTTTTAGGTGGAGAGAAAAATTTACTTCATCAATCATTTTTGCAGCTCAAGTGATTTATTAAAATCTATTACAAGGTGTGACAAAAGTATTTTGAAACTATATCTGCCTAAATTGAATTATGAATAATTTGCAATGTTATTTTCATCCATACTAGAGTACTCCATACTAGAGTATATCGTGTTGTGTGATTTATGGTATTCATTTTGAACAATGGTACTTCATTTAAACTTCAAAAATCACATGTATTTGAAAACCATAAAGTAAACTATTAACACTATTTATGCTCCATAAGAGGCTTTAAAGTGTCTGTTGGATAAGAGGCTTTAACAATCAATCATTTTTTAATTTCAGAAATAATCCAAGGAGGAAACTTGGCCTATATGTTTATGCAGATTAAAAAGTCAATAGACATTGAACAGCGAAAAACAATATGGCTGCCAAGTGGGTCATTATGACAACCACTCTCCGACACTATGGGTAACTTTCGACATTCGTTTCATATGGCTGATTTGCATCGTACCAGTAGAACAAGATGGTACATTGACTGAATGATGAACAGTTCTACATGATTTCGGACATGATTTCGTTTATAATTCATATTGTGACATATACTGATTTTTCCCTTATTTTAATGGGATTTGAGATCCTCGTGTAATTTCAAGATTTTAATTGATTTGCAAAAATCGTGTCAGTATGAAGCATTCGAATTGTAGAACAATTTGTGATTCGGAACAAGATTTCCGTTTTCGTATTGAAAATCAGAATTTTGTGATTTGAAGGAGAAAGAATTATATTTTTCGTAAGATAGATAAGAAGGATATTGTATATGATAAAAAAACCTGATTGAACACATAGAGATTATTTTGACATGAGAATTTATGTATACAACTTTTGATATGTATTTATGATATAGCATATGTTCTTAGTGTAAACACAATCTGTAGGAGAATTTTAAATAGTTTAAAGAAATTAACTTTAGAATTTACTTAAGATGATGAATGATGTCAAGATTTTCAAATGATGTCAAGATTTCAAAGGATGTCAATATTTACAAACACCCATAAGTGTCACGGAGACTACAGAAACCAAAGGACAATGCAGCATTTAGGCTGCCCTAGGCTATACATATATCAACAAACATACAGGGTGGTTCAAAAATGTGCGCAATTTCGGTATTCAGTTTACATTTGAATTTCACAATATTCTTCCTCATAATTCCCAAAAAATTAATGTAACATCGAAACCTCTTGAAAGCCTTTGTGAGACATTAATAAGTGTTTGGCCTAGGATTTTATGAAATTGTGCACTTGTTCTTTTTAACCACTCTGTAAAGCTAAAAGCTTCTAAATCTTTAAGTAAGATATTTTATATGTGAAATACTGGAACAAGTGTTCTATAAACACAAAATTGGAGAATATTCGTGTGAATGATATATTGGAAGTCTTGCTTTTAGTGTTCAGCAGTTTGATGCACAGACACAGAAAGCAATTTTCCATGTTCATTTTAAGCATTTCTAGGATCTTTCAGTTGGACTGTATTGATTTACATGTTATAGTTGACTTAAACAAGGGAATTGCAGGATCAGATCAAAATATCAAAGTTTATTTTCGTAGAAAGTTCATAGAATACCAAATTTTGTATTGTACACATTTTGACATAGAACTGTATCTACAATATCTACAAGGTGACACAAATGTCTACAAGGTGACATAAATGTCTACAAGGTGACACAAATGTCAACAAGGTGACACAAATGTCTACAAGGTGACACAAATGCGGAAACCTCTAATTTTGACCACTCTATCAAGAAGATTCCATCATTATTGAGAAGGTTGTTCCAAAATTAGAGTTTCTTATGTCAGTGTCACCCTGTAGCTCTTTCTCTGTGATGTTGTGAAAGGTCTGAAGAAAATCTGAAGTGTACAATATATCAATTTTGGCTTATTGTTGTCATTTTTTAATTACATATTGTAGCCAGGCAAGATTTCATACATGTGTGGTACTGTATATGTTGCTTTAGATTTAACTTATCATTAAATCATCTTAAAAAGTTCATGGAATACTTTTTATTGTTTTTATTAAGAATTAAGTTGTGTAAAGTTGTAAAAGATATCATAGTAATTAAGTTTTCAGTTTAACTTGCAAATTTATCATTTTGCTGAACTGTAAATGCCTAAAAATGAGATAAAGTAATCACAGAATTATATTCTTATTGTAATTGTAACAGCTACAATAATACAAACACAATTTTCTTATCTTTCCTTGATTACACCTAGTAGCTTCAATTGTACATTTTGAAAATCTTCTTTTTATCAATAAAACAAATTGGATTTGTACAAAATATATTCCTTTGAAATTACACCCCCTAAAATTAGTTAGAACAGAGATCTGGGGAATTTTTATTTTAATATGCCATACTATTGCATGTTAAAATTCAAATCTACAAAAGCTTTATATGCTATCAGGCAATATTAATGGAATGAAATCTTTCTTTGATCATGTTTATATCTCATTATTTCTCTCTAGTTCTCTCCAAAAATAAGAAATTGTACGAAATATATCCCTTTACAATAACATACCTAAAGAGCAGAAGGGGTTACCTACATTTGATACTTTCATTATTGGGGTTAACCCAAAACAAAATTAACCTCATTTTTCAAAAATGCAGAGAACTATATTTCTTCATACAATTGATAATATTAACTCTTTGAAGTCTGGCCTGATAATTTTACCTGCACCAGACTGCAAAGGGTTAACACCATGTCTGTAACTGTATTTTTCCAACTATTAAGCATGACCAAAGAAATATTTTGTTTCATGCATATGTCAACTATCACAGGTCATTTTCTGTATGACAATAAATGCTTCAGATACAGTATGCATATACAATAATAAATATGTATGTTTGAGTTTTTTATTTTGTATAATCCTAAATACAAAAGGTTGAAAGAGAGACAAGGGATCATAATGAAATAGCAATATTGGCCAAAGTAAAAATATACAAAAAGTGAACCCTTGCAACAAGCTATATAAGACAGTTCTTATTTTAGAAGAAGGTCTTTTTGGTACTATAAAGGTCTTAAATCTTGCAGAAGTTACATAGCGTCAACAGACATGCCTGATTATGGATGATGTGCTAAATCCATGCTCAATGGTTCTGCATAACTACTGCAAAGTGAATGTTGAAATTGTTCACCGCTCAAAAAAACATCAACATTCATGTTGTGGCAGTTATCCAGAAGCATGGATCACAGATTTAGCACATGATCCATTGATCAGGCATATCTTATACAGTTATACCATGCAACTTATTTGAGATCTAAGTCTGAGTGACCTTCGATGGTATCAACAAAATTTTTAGACCTTCCTCTAAAATATGTAAGAATATTAGCCCATCCATATGGATAATAACTGAAATATAGCTTGTTTTAACGGTTCACTTTTTTGACCACCCTGTAGTTTGCACAAAACAAGCAATAACATTTTTTTGCTTAAAGCAATCAAATTCTTGCAGGGCCTAATTTTTGTAATCACCCTCTTGATCATGTATAATCTTATTATGCCACCACTACAACCTTTTATGGATGGTGTTTGGCAGTTGGTGTTTGGCATTCAGTGGTTTGCGCCTGTAACAAATTGCAGGTGGTTACATTTTGCATGTTAATACTTTGTTTCTATATGACATCATACCACAAAGAGAAACCACTGTTGGCAAATGGTCAAATCTGTATCCCCTTAACTCCTATCATTCCAGTACTGTATCACAACTATGTCCTCCAGCTAATGAAAGAAAAATTTCCCTTTACTTTATTTCTTCATGCCAACTGCACTTGTTTGAATTGATTGTTCCATTTGCCGGGTGAGTAACAATTTTGAAAATGTTTACATTTACAGCTTTATCTGACCAACAAAGAAAGGTTGAGGTTACTGTATCATTTAGGCTGTTCATGTTTATGTTCACTTGGTTAACATATCCATGCACTAAGTGTATCAAAAAATGCAACTAGCCTACTCTTAAACCAATAAATTTGAGAAATCTTGACATATTGGCATAATTAAAGTCGGTTAAAAATTCTTTAAAGTTCATAATTTTCATCACTGTATATTGCATGTGTTGGCCCATTTGCTGGTCATTTAAAGGAATATTCCTTGCCAGACCCTTTCTCTCTTGATATGGTAGCTATAATCATATATATAGTTTCCATATTTAGCAAAACATTGGAAAATGTTTTAATATGGTCAATATTGATCATTTAAAAATCTAGTGCTTATTTCCAGTGAGCTGCCATCTTTTAAGATTTCTTGCAGGAAGTGATGTCATCAACTCTCAACTTCTATAACATTGCCCATAACAGTATAGGAAAGTAGCACAAAATCACTTCTTGACAAGTGATCATTACTTTCTGTGTAAAAATATTTTCAGGGCTTGTCAACTTAGAATAAAAGAAGAGATTTTCAGAAGGATTAAATAAGATACAAAGTTGAAAAAGAATATTTAGCTGGTTTTGTAATTCTTAATAGCTCCTCACCTAATGCTATATGCAAAGTTGAGAGTCGATGACATCACTTCCTGTGTGAAATTTTAAAAGATGGCAGCTTACTGGAATTGAACATCACATTTCTAAGTGATCAAATTTGACCATATCAAAACATTTTTGCGTGTTTTGCTAAACATGGCAAGCATATATATGGTTATAGCTACCATATGAGGAGAGAGATGGTTTGGCAAGGAATATTCCTTTAAGGAATGTCTCCAAATGGCTACCACTTCTCTGCACACAGACTTGCACACATCCTTTGCTCCATGTGGCTCTAATTTTGAAAGATAAAGTGCATGGCAACATTCCTACAACCAACAACCATTGCAGAGCTCAAACTAGAGATAACAAGGAAAAAAGAGCCATATTGAATCCCCACGTACTATCACCAACTTGGCAAGACGTGCAAGTCTGTCTGCAGGGATGTGGTTGCCATTTAGAGCATGTACTTAAATGGCCAGCAATAGAGCAATACACATATTACAGTAATGAAAGTCAACTTAAAGAACATTGAATCAGCTTAAATTTTTGTAAAAAGGTTTTTCAAACTTTATTGGTTAAAGAGATATGCATTGCTAGGTGGGCTGCATATAGCAATACTAGTAATGTTCATAAAAAGAAGGCTTCTAATCAATCTTATTGTTATAATAACAAAATGATTTAGTATTGTAAATTTCGATTAAATGTGTAAATCTTTTTCAAGCAGCTTAATTGTTCATTGCTTGAAAAAGATTTACATAATAGATCGAAATATTACAATATGCAATCATTTTGTTATTAAACATAAAAACAACTACTTATTTTATATAATAGACCTTCCAATAAATCCTGCCACCTTTTGTTAGATGTTACACTAACCAGGATATATTTGCTTTCTCACAAGTTTCTCAGATTTGCATTATGATTATGGCCAGTAAATCCTAGCTTATTCTTGGGTGCTACAAAAGGTGACAGTGACAGTGCTATGTTAACATTGGAAAGAAAATGGTGACATATTGTTATGTTCAGCTTTTTTGTGGACAGCATTCAGTGGTTGGTGTGACATTTCGCGTGTTACTGTTAATGCCTTGTTTCATTGTGTAGTGGTTTTCTGAATAATATGGAATAGGACTATTCCGGGTAATTTTAAAATATCCATGGACACCTTTTGAAGCAAGTAGGAACTTTGGGATTTTAGAATATGTACTTTGTTATTTGTAACATAGCTAAACTTTAATTCTTCAAAAAAATCAACACCCTTGACATAATGTATGAATAAACGGGAATCAAATCTCCCAATGTAAAAATGTCTTGAGTGCACCAAAATTGTTTGGCTAGACTCAGTTCCTCTATTAGACTCTCCTAACAAATTAAAAGAAGGAGCTGTTGGTTGACCTCTAAAAATTGAGTTCAAATAATTTCTTTTCAAGTCTCTGTGCATATTGTGATTTCGTTTATTGATTTGAGTTCACAGAATAAAAATATTGTGTATTCCTGTACAGTTTTTATATGAGTTTTTATATAAGATTTGCCATCAAGTACATGCAAATAACTACAAATGGTACAAAAAATGTGTTCTGGCCTTTATTGTTTATTTAATTCAGAGAGAATATCGAGAATATCGAAAAATCACGTTAGAACAGGGTCCGCCATTTTTGCACGAGGTAAGTGAATTCATGCAAAATAGTATATTCATTATTTATATGATATTCATTGATGAAGTCATTACTTAGACTAATTATTATACAGCATATGAATAAGCTGCATGAATGTAATAACATACACACAAA